CTTCATGTCTCGTACATGTTAGTCTGCAGGAAAAGAGACTTCATGTCTCGTACATGTTAGTCTGCAGGAAAAGAGACTTCATGTCTCGTACATGTTAGTCTGCAGGAAAAGAGACTTCATGTCTCGTACATGTTAGTCTGCAGGAAAAGAGACTTCATGTCTCGTACATGTTAGTCTGCATGAAACGAGACTTCATGTCCCGTACAGGTTAGTCTGCATGAAACGAGACTTCATGTCTCGTACAGGTTAGTCTGCAGGAAACGAGACTTCATGTCCTGTACAGGTTAGTCTGCAGGAAACGAGACCTCATGTCCCGTACAGGTTAGTCTGCAGGAAACGAGACTTCATGTCCCGTACATGTTAGTCTGCAGGAAAAGAGACTTCATGTCCCGTACAGAAAGGCGTTCCTGAAAGTAGGCTATGTGAAAATACACTTACAATGGGCCCAGGCTATCTCTGAGGGTAGTTGGAGTGAAATATTTTCAATGCATATTGAGATGATTCACACCTGTATTTAAAGTTATCTGTTCACAATCCAATGACTTAATGTGTGTAAACATCCCCGTACTGGGAAAATGACCTGGTATCCTGTTTAATGCTCCTTTGTAGGTGCCGTATTAGAAATCAGCTTTTTATTTGATTTGAATTCCTTTCTTCTCCTTTTAATCTGTCTTCTCTGTGAAGACTGGGGTGAACTTTGCTGAATTTAAGTCCTGTTAGGTTTGAAATGCATCCGAGTGTTTTCTTTGGAGAAGATTCGTCCAGATTTTGGCAGAGCAACAGCTTTTGTATAAATTAACTTCTAAGTTGATAACATGTTAAAATAAACATTAAATGAAAACTGATCCAACTGTTAAAATATTACTTATGTATATTGTATTTAATCTTTTCCCAATGTGGTGGCATGTTTGTTAGATATCTAGAATTTTCTAAATGAGATATTTTTTTTCTTTTAATTCTTTCCTTTCTGCCTGAACACATCTGGAAAAATAAATATATTTCTAAATATTTGTATTCCACAACAGTTCAAAGTCAAATTACACTCAGCAGTGCTCTTTTCTGGGTCTGGAGCCCCCAAATTAAGAGACGCATATTTATTTAATAAATCTTAGACTTTCGTGCTAGCCTGCTGTGACTTGGGCAATAATGAACTCTTGTCTTCTACAGAGAGTCCAAACTGACCAGAATCCTTCAGGACTCACTGGGAGGACGAACAAAAACCTCCATCATTGCCACTGTGTCTCCTTCCTCCAGCAACCTGGAAGTATGTCTGCATTTGTTCATGTTGACTCGTCTTCAGCCTGAGTGAATTAAACATTTTCATTGAATTGCATGTAAATATTCTGATTATGTAAACTTTTTAGTATCGTGTTTTTTTTTATTTATTTTTTTATTCCTTATGCAGTGGTTTTGAATTTTTGTTACGTTTTCATATTTTTCCTACGCTTTGTTCAGACTCTTCAACAGATGTTTGTTTTTCTGTGGGTTTGCAGGAAACACTGAGCACTCTGGAGTACGCAAGCAGAGCCAAGAATATCATGAACAAGCCTGAGGTCAACCAGAAACTCACGAAGAGGACTCTTATTAGGGTAAAACGTCGATTTGACACGAGTTCTGTTTTGAGTTTGTCTATACATCTCAGGATATTAACGTTGACCTCTGATGCCTTCATAGAAGAACCATGTAGATCAAAATAACTGAGGTTTTTAAAATCGTTTTTTACTATTTTCATTGTTGATGGACCTAGGATTCGCTTTTGTATGTTGGGACATTAATCCCTTCAGTGAAGCTGTTTTTCTGACTGTTCAGGAATACACCGAGGAGATCGAGCGTCTAAAGCGGGACCTGTCTTGTGCAAGAGAAAAGAACGGAGTTTATTTGTCTTCAGAAAACTACGAGTAAGACAAGAGACAAAAACAGAACTGGACAGATTTCACTACAACTTTCATCTGTTTTGATCAAATGTAGTTTTTTGTTTTTTGTAACAAATTATTAGAAGTGATTTAAATAAACCCTAATTATTGCATGTTTTAACCTCGGTCTGCTGCAGCTGTTTGTGTTTGATATGAACATGAACTGATGTATTTTTCAGGAGCATGCTGACTCAGATCACCATTCATGAGGAGAGGATTGCAGAACACCTGGAGAAGATCGCTGTCATGGAGGAGGAGCTTAAGAAGGTGCCACCCTGTTTCCACATTCAGTGTTTCCCCTAGATAACTTGCCATGGCGGGGCGCTCATCTCGTCCGTGATTTTTGTCTGGGGTGGGGGGGACGGAGACTCGTCCTAAGCTGCGCAGCGTGCTGTTTAAACCAACAGTTTTAGAGGGGGTGGGGGACACAGAGGCAGCCGCGCGCTGTTTGTACTGGCAGTTTTCGAGTGGCGGGGGTGCGTTCAACGTGAGTGTTCAGCATGAAGGAAGAGGCTGCCTTTAGCTTTTTGGCTAGCGCACCTGCATTGCGAGCCGCTAGTTTAGAGTTGCATCAATGCCGACAGGGGGTGGGGTTCGGTAGACGGGGTGCTCAGTTCTGTTGACGGGGCGGGGCGCCCCGCTTGTATAATGGTAGGGGAAGCACTGACATTGCTACAAACCTTGAGTCTATTTTAATATTCACAGCTACTTGAATGTGAAGTGGGTTACAGCAAGACCATTTATTTACTGCTTGAATATTCAGCTTGCAACTACAGATTAAAACGTTTTTCCATCAGCTGGGCTTCAGTTAAATGCATCAGAAAAAATGAGATGAGCACAAACGTTTATCCTCTGCTCCCCCTGCAGGTAACAGAGTTATTTGTGGACAGTAAAACCAAACTGGATCAGTGCACTGTGGACCTGGATGAGAAGCAACAGAGGTATTTATTCTTCACACCAGTCCTGCAGCCGCCAGCAGATCTTGGCCTCTGAATGTTGTTTCTGTTTGTTTTCAGACTGGAGGAAACTAGCAGAGACCTACAGCAGACAAAGGAGAAGCTGGTCCAGGAGGAGTTCATCTGCTCGGAGCTCACTTCAGTCCACAAGTCTCTGTATAACACAGCTGGACAGGTACAAACCCCCTACTGTGTCAAACACAAAACACAAGTGATGCTAAAAGGCAGGTTTTTGAGAGACCTCCTACTGATAATGTAAACATCTCCTGCAGCGGTGTTGGGGTGCATTCACACCAGCCCTGATGTCCCAAACTCTAGCCCGTTTGCCTAGGAAGTCCGTTTAGTTTGGGGAGGTGTGAATGCACCATTGAACTCTGTCACGGAACAGAGGCGAACTCTGGCCCGGGCTAAAACCTAGGGGTGCATTCACACCTGATAGTCTGGTGGACTCGGTTCGGTTGGGGACCAATATTCATGACCTTTTGTTTACATTTGAGCTGGTCCGTTGGCATTCACACTGCACTGTGCAGTCGAGTCAACCTGTTGAACCAACCTGTTCCCCCACTCGCCTGTGGGGGCGCTGCACCAACAACTACTGAAAGAAACAACACAAAAAACTCTGAAGACACGTCTTCTTCTTCTGGAAATAAAAACAAAAATGAAGTGGCATCAAGTTTTAGGAGTTATATTTTGTCATTTTTCAAAAATGGACTCAGCATGAGCAGAAGATGAGACAGAAGACCATGGTGAATATTGTTTTTCACACAAGGCAGCTGACGGCTCCATATGAGGTAAGAGAAATGTGTGTTTGTTTACCCTGCGCTGTACTCCACTTCTTGCTTGTGGAGCGGGACCGGTCTGATTACATTCACACTGTACTCGAACCGCGCTGGAGTTTTCTTCTACCAGACCGAGACCTAGGGTGCATTCACACCAGCCCTGTTTAGTCCGCTTTAATCGAACTCTAGCTAGTTTTCCTAGGAAGTCCGGTTTGTTTAGGGAGGTGTGAACGCGCCATCGAACTCTGGCCCGGGCTAAAACCTAGGTCTCGGTCCGGTAGAAGAGAACTCCAGCGCGGTTCTAGAATTAGAATGTTAGAATCTAGAATGTTCTAGAATTGCGCCGCTCAAGGTGGCTGCATGTTGGAGCAGCTCTGTTACTTTCATTCTGAGATTTTGCTTTTGGAAACATTAATTCATCTTTTTCTGGATGTAAATCACATTTTTTTGGATGATTGTTTCCTCTGGTATCAGATGCTGTGCAGCTGGAAGGATTTTTACTGAAACTTTTTTAGTTTTGGACATTTGTTATGATGCGTAACCATGGCAACAAGGCAGTTTTCTACAACCAACAGCAGCTGATTAACATCTCAAAAGCTCAAATAATATCTCAACTACAGCCACAAATCTCAAATGAGTTGAAAAGGATGTTCTGTGGACACATTCTCATCTACCTGCCAGCTGTGCTCGAGTACCTGACCACTGAGATCCTCAAACTAGCAGGAAACACGGCTCATGACAGCAGAAGGACAGGATCGTCCCTCAGCAACTACAGTTGGCTGTCTGCAGCGACGAGGAGCTCGGCAGACTGCTGGGAGGAGTGGCCATCGCACTGGGAGGAGTTCTGCCCTGCATTTGTGCGGTCATACAGTCCGGGGGAACCGAGAGGCCAGCCAAGTCTGGGTGGACGGATCGGACGGCATCTGCAGCCAGTTTCTTAGGATCCACTGTGGGATGGACCTTTACAAGAGATCCTTCCTGTCTACAGCCATCAGCATCTATAACATCTCTTAATGAAATGAGGATAACGAGTTACAGCAACAAATAATTTCCCTTTGGGATTAATAAAGTATGTATGAATGAATGAATGAAATCCGTTGACTCTTGTCCAAAATCCAGCTTTAACTGTTAAGTTGTTGTTGGCTGAGCTTTTAGCCCAGAGGAAAGTCTTTACAGAGAGCGTGCACGCATGTGCATTTGGTGAATGTACAAAATTCACAGAACAGCTGAACAATGACACAACTCTACACTTTGTATTTCAGCTCCTGAGTACCGTCGATACCAGTACCAGTGACGTGTTTGGTCTCCATGACAAGCTGGACCGGAAGAAAAAGGTCAAAACTCTTTAAAACAAACCTGTTATCACATCAGTCTGAAATAAAATTAAGCCAAACTTGAGGAAATCAATCGGCTGCCTTTTATGCAAATGTTTTATAATAGTCATCTTATTAAAAAATAGCTGTAGACATTTAGTCAGTACAGTAGTCCCTCGTTTGTTGCGAGTGTTAGGTTCCAAACCCCCTCACAATAAGTGAAAATCCACTAATTAGTGACTATATTTATTTTAGTATTTACATATATTTTAAGGTTTTAGAAGCCCCACACTTGCAATGTTCTAAGCTCTTAAATCAACGTAATTTTAACAACATATGTCTGTGTTGATTTTAAAAAAAAAAAAAAGAAGAAGAAAGAAACCATCCAGATGACTGCATTGACATTGACATGACAGTCTCAGAGGAGTTGACTGGGGAGAGAGCGGGCCTCGGAGGCCATCTTGGCACCAGCAAACTGTTCTTTTTTGTTTGTTTTTTCCACTATGAAGTATGCTGTTGTTGTGGGAATCAGTTTGTTTGTGGCTCCTCAGATTGAAGAAGTCCTTTGGATGAATGACGAAATGTCTCGGAAAAAAAAACAACCGTCCAGATGACCTGTCTGAACATTGTTGGATTTTTACCTGGATTATTGAGCATGAACCTTGATATACTTATATCTAGCTAATAAATTTTACTTAGCAGCGCGTCCTCGCTTGGACATCCTCTTGGGCCTGTTAAGAGCTCTCAGGTTCACCTATGAACCTGGGAGTCTGGTTCTATGCGGCCCTTAAACGTCAAAGCTCATTTTGTGGGGGGCCAGACCTTCAATTTGTCCGGCACAGAACCATAGGTGGTTGAGTCAAAGTCTGGATGAAAAAAGTCCCAATGGGCTCCGTAAACAGCCCTGGACCTACGACTGAAAGTCCCCACTTGGGCTGGGCGATATCTCAATGTTTTTAAAATGTCAAGATAATTTCATATGCAATATAAAATTAGACTATATTGATATAAAACAATATAGTCTCATACTGTAAGTAGTTATAATTATATTATGCAGTCAACCTACTTCACATATGGGGAGCAATATTATAGGCAGAAACATGGGTGTGCTATGGGGTCTCCAGTTTCTCC